CCCACCGGGACGCGAACCGGCAACCTTCTTGCTGGTCTTGCTACCAACTGCGCCACCTTGCAGCCCCCTTAAACCATGGCTACTTATGAGTAACATGGGGAACAAAAATAAAATCATAGTAGTTTGATTTAGGAAGCCTGTCTTTTGTCCAGCAACTTAGGCTTAGACTGACTTTATTAATCTCAGAAGGAAATTCAGGTGTTACAGCAGCATGAATATTCAACAAAGGGGTAAACAAAGCAAAAAGACAACACAGAATATTAGGGTAGGGTATAAAATGAAGGTAGAATAAAATAAGAAGAAAGTTAACAAAATTTACAAGAATGTATAAGAGAGATACAGAAATGCGCAAATGAACAGAATGTGCAAATAATAATATGCTTACATTAAAGCATTAAAAAGTCTTATTGCTGTTGGGAGCAGTGGCGTTGCAATAGCCTGTTGCTGAAGCTGCTCCTCAGATTGTCCACAGTTTTATGGAGGGGTTGTTCATGATGTTGATGAGCAGAGCACGAGCAGAGCAGCTGCCACCAAGCCCACGATCCACCAGGCCCACGATCCACCAGGCCCACGATCCACCAGGCCCAAAATCCACCAGGCCCACGATCCACCAGGCCCAGCTCTACCAGCCGCCAACAGGCCAAGGCCCTACCAGGCCCAGGCTCTAATTTCAAGAAATTATTTGCTCGAAGCCATGCCTCCACTCACCTCGCCATCCAGATGCACCAGTTGCCTCCATCTATCTCAGAAAATCTCCGAGCTGGAATGGAGAATATCCACTCTCTACCAGATCAGAGACGAGGAGAGGTCTATGGACTCTCTGGTCACCGTGGGTCCCGCTGTCGGCACCGCAGCTCCCGCTGAACTGGACTCAACTGTTCCATGTCCAGATTCTACTGTCCCAGCTGCTGTACACTGGGCCGCGCTGGGAGCGAAGCCCAAAGCTCAGGCCTGCTCCACTCCAGGCCAGGAAGAGCCGTGGATTCTGGCTCCACTCGCCGGTCCTCACTCCTCATCGTTCCCGGAGTTTGATGGCCGTCTCCCCTTAGCTGTGTCCAAACTGCCAGCTGGTGACCACCGCTCCCGACGCCACGAACTCTCGCCGTTGCCCGGGTGTGTGCAGTTTACCCCGCGCCCTGTAGCCTGTCCTGTGGCCTCGGGGCCAGGGCAGGCCCGCTCGCAGTGGCATGCGTCCTCCACCCGGTCTTCCTGTGCGCGGACCTCCAGGGATGCCCCGACTGCGACCGGGGGTCTGGCTGCAGCCGTGGTGGAGGCTCCTCCTGGTCCCGCTGGCTCTACTCCACCTGGCGCCCAGGATGGTCGGGAACCGCGCCACTCTTCTGCCAGGAACAACCGCCGCAGGTTGCTGAAGGAGGCCGTCATGAGGCGCTCCGGACCTCTTCCTCCCGCTGAGCGGCCAGCCTCAGCGCTGCAGCGGACGGGCACAAGCACGGCTCCGGCCTCGGCAAGGCGCCCCACGGCGGCAGACAGCTGTGTTGCTGGCTCACCTCACCTGCCACCCCGTCCGCTGTTCAGCCCCACAACGCTCATCGTCGGCGACAGCATCATCAGGAATGTGCGTTTCTTTAACCACTACACGGTGTTTTCCCGGTGCCACCGTTGCCTCCCTCCTGGACAAACTCCCCGGGCTGTTGCAGTCCATCCCACCCTCCGTATGCCACGTGGTCATCCACGTCGGCATGAACGACACGGCCCGACGACAGTCCGAGCGGACAAAAAAGGATTTTATGGACCTTTTTGCCCTTCTGGAAAGCTGCGGGAAGTCGGTCTTCATTAGCGGGCCCATATCGACTCTCCCCCACAGTGCTGAACGCTTCTCCAGACTCCTCAGCTTGAACACCTGGCTCCACCACACCTGCGCAGCTCACCACCTGCTTTTTATTGACAATTTCAACCTCTTCTGGAACCGCCCTCAATTTTATAGACCTGATGGACTTGATCCAAGCAGATGGGCCGCTCGGTTTTAACAGGTAACATTCATTACTCAGTTCAATCAGCTCTACGTGATTGACTGGCTGCTCGTCACGCCCACTCCCCACACTCCCCACACATCTCCCCTCTGCCCACGGACATTATCCACACCATCCCCACAGTCATTTCCACCAGATCCCATAAACCCAGGACTGTTTTTAGATCAAGAACTGTCACTCCCTTGAATCGTGATGATGAGCGCACGTTCTGCACGAGCATTAACCTGGCCGTGCGCTCTCTTTCAAACAAAACTTTTATTGTAAATGACCTGATTTTAGAGGGAGTTAGACTGTCTTCTTTTAACTGAGACATGGCTTGGCACTGACGCACCTGTTGTTCTCACCGAGGCTTCTCCACCGAATTTTAACTTTTTATTCTCTACGAGGCAGGGTAGGAGAGGGGGCGGAACTGCCTCCATCACTAAAGACTCCCTGACCTCCAAAGAAGTGTCTTTTAACAGTTACACCTCATTTGAGCACCATGCCTTTGTTTTTAGCAGCACTCCCATTCTCTGCTTAACAGTCTACAGACCACCCCATCACTCCAGCCTTTTTATCAATTAATTTTCTGAACTTCTATCCATCATTCATTCCAAATATATGAAAATTTTAATAACTGGTGATTTTAATCTGCACTTAGACAACAGCTCGGACTCAATGTCCAGAGATTTTTTAAACCTTTTAAACTGCATGGATTTTATACAGCACGTCACGCAGCCGACCCACAACAGGGGACTCACCCCGGACCTGGTCATAACCCATGGCCTGTCCATTGGTGTGTCCTCTGTTGTTGACCTGGCTGTGTCTGACCACTGCTGTGTGTTTTTTAACATCACCAGTTTTAACCAGCATGAGGCCCCGGTGAGAACGGCGAGGAAACGCTACCTAACTTCTGAAGTGGCTGCAAATTTTATTGAGATTTTACAGAGCACTCCTGCTGAAATTTTACTTGCACCCTGTGATTTTATCATTGATCATTTTAACAGTAGACTGAAGTCTACTCTGGACTCAGTAGCTCCACTCATTATCAAAGAAATACGAAGAAAACCTACACCCCCGTGGAGAAATAATGATAAAATCATTACATTAAAAAGAAAATGCAGGAGTGCTGAGAGGAGACGGAGGAAATCGAAATTAACAGTGCATTATGAGATTTTACGTAGACAACTCAAAACCTACAATAATGCGATCAAACAGGCAAGAACTTCCCATTTCTCAAAACTCATCTCAGATCATAAAGACAATCCCCGGTTCCTCTTCTCCACTTTTGATATTTTAACTGGCACTAATTTTAATAAAGCTTTTAATACGTCAACAGACGCTCTTTGCGAGAGTTTTGCAGACCACTTCAGAACTAAAATCAAGGACATCAGATCCAGCCTTTTATCCCAACAAGTTTTACCTCTTAACACACCTGGACTGTTGTTCTTGCCTGAGGAAACACCGGAGAGTTTTGCCCTGGTTGATGTGTAAAGCTGTTGTAGCAGTCTTTAAGAAAAGTCACTCTTTGTCCTGTAGGACTTGGATGAATCAAACTAATCATTCAGCAAACAGAACTGGAATCATTCCTTGCCTTGTTTGCTACACCGATTCTGAAGAATCTCCCAGTCCACACACCAGCCCTTTACAGCTAAATGAAAGCTGCGAGGTACTTTGATGTTGATATTGTACTGGCAGGCATTAGACAAATTTGATTGCTACAAACAGTTTTTTACATCATAGACATGGAGCCTGTCTTCTGAATCTGAACTTACCCTCACTGACCAAGACAAACAGCCTATTCCAAGATTGAGGAGGACCAAGAGCATACAGGTGTGCAACACACACAATGGAGGGAAAATGTTCATACATATATTTAACATTTCTAAAGCTGTAGTATTTCCTTGATGAAATGTGTATGTCAGATGCTTAAGTGGCATGGTGCCTGAAACTGAATTTACCTTTTTTTCTCTTCACTTGCTCCTGAAGATGAAAGGTCGAGTTGACTTTGATTTGGATGAGCTTTATGATCTCACCTCAGATGACAGTGGAGAAGAGTATATTCCTGAGAGTGGTGAAGATTCTTCTGAAGACACTTGCGACATTAAGACTGACCAGAAAATGACAAAGCTCAGATTTCCAAACTTGGGGAAGACGGCAGATGTCAGAGATGGATGTCTCCCAATGACAGAACCTATCCATGCTACTTTGAATCCGGAGAGAGGATGTTCATCTTCAAGAAAAGATGGCACCTCTGGTACAAGGCGAAGAAGAAGATATTCAAGCAGTGTGCCTTGCCCAGCAACACAAACAGGTACTGGTAACTAAACAGAACAGAGTGGAGGGGGCGACTCTTGACATAGAGTCCTGCTGGATAATTCGGCACCTGATCTGGAGCAAAATCTACCTGACAGCACCTCTTCCCTGGGTGGAGTGATTGATGATTTACCTTCCATACCTGCTGTTTGTAAGAAAGAGGATGGCTCAAGATTGTATAACAAAAAGCAATACTGTCTGTACTGTAAATTAGAGGTTATAAAAATGGCAAGGCATTTGGAGTGCGCTCATCAAGACAAGCCAGATGTTGCAAGGGCTGTGTCCTTCCCAAAATACTCAAAAGAAAGACGGATGTGTATGGAACACTTGAGAAACAAGGGCAACTTTGCACATAATGTTGAAGTATTGAATTCTGGTGTTGGAATTCCACGCAAGCAACCAAAGGATGAGTCTCAAGTGCAGAATTTTCTGCATTGTGCATATTGTCAGGGTTTCTTTACAAAGAAAGTCCTTTGGAGGCACAGGAAGATCTGCAAATTCAAACCTAGTATTCCACTTAAACCTGGCAGAACACGTGTTCAGGCGCTTTGTGGATTTGCTGCGCCTCCACCACCTGGAGTGAAGGAACAACTTTGGAAGCTCTTGAACAAAATGGTTCAGGACGAAGTGTATTTTGCTGTCAAATCTGATCCATGTATCATGGAGTATGGCGAACATTTATACAACAGGCTTGGGTATGATCCTCGCAAACATGAATACATTCGCCAGAAATTGAGACAGTTGGGACGGCTTCTGATATGCTCAAGGAAAAACACTCCCTTGAAGATGATTCAAGATCACATCAAGCCTGCAAATTTCATGTACGTTATCGAGGCAGTTAAAGACATTGCAGGCTACAATAGTGAAACAGATGCATACAGGTGCCCCAGTCTGGCTCTCAAAATTGGATACAGTCTGAAAAAGATTTCAATGCTTGTTGAAAGCCGTGCAAATGTACAAAGTGACTACAGTGCAGCAAAGGATGCTCGTATATTCCGCAACGTGTATGAAGCCAGATGGAATGCACTGATATCAGCTGCATCACTGAGAACACTTCAGGAGTCCAAGTGGAATACTCCTCAGTTGCTTCCATTCACAAAAGATGTTCAGACACTCCATTCCTTTTTAGATGCACAGCAAGAAGAACTTTTCAGCCAACTATCCTCAGAGACATCCCCCCAGACCAGGGCACAGCTGACGAAAGTCATTTTGACTAAAGTCATTTTGTTTAACCGTCGAAGATCTGGGGAAGTGTCAAAAATTCCAGTTTCTGCTTATTTGTCTCATAATCCATCAGACCCACAGGAGAAAGTGAATTTAGCACTCTCAGACCTAGAGAAGAAGGCAGAAAAAGCAGAATTCTGAGATTCTGAATTTTAAGCCAATGACTAGAAAAGCGCTATATAAGCTCAAGTCCATTTATCATTTACCATAAGCCAGAATTCTGCCAAAAAAAAGTCAGAATTCTAAGATTCTGATTTTTCAAAGTCATAATTCTGAGGAAAAAGTCAGAATTCAGAAATTCTGAGATAAAAATTCAGAATTCTGTGGGGAAAAGTCAGAATTCAGAGATTTTGAGTTTTAAAGTCAAAATTCTAACATTCGGAGTTATCAGAGTCAGATTTCTGGGGGGAAAAGTCAGAATTCTGAGATTCTGAGTTTTGAAAGTCAGAGTTCTGTAGGAAAAAGTTAGGATTCTGAGAGATAAAAGAATTCTGAAATTTTTAGTTTTAAAGTCAGAATTCTGTGAAAAAAGTCAGAATTCTTAGAAAAAATCTGAACTCTCCAAAGAAAGTCAGAATTCTGAGATTCTGAGTTATAAAGTTAGAATTCTATGAACAAAAGTCAGAATTAAAGTTACAATTCTGATTTTAAACTCAGAACTGATTTTTTATTATACAGCGGCCTTAATCCTCTTTCATGTAGATGGGATAAAAATTCTGGGGTAAAATATTGGATTTTCATGCTGAAAGTTGGGATTTTGACATTAGACCTTAAAACAACCCCCCTTGCCAAAAATCATGCACCTGTAACCTTTTGTAGGATACTCTCTAGAAAATGGACATTTTTGTCCATTGAAGGGTCATTAATGGGATAACAATGCATTACAGGGTCAAATAATGGATTTTCATGCTGAAAGTATTGATTATCAAATTTTTCCCCAAATTACCCCCCCTTGCCAAAAGTCAGCCCCCTGTGACCATTTAGGACACTTTATTGAAAATAGACATTTTTGTCCACTTGAAGGGTCATTAATTGGATAAAAAGGAATTCTGGGGCCAAATAATGGATTTTCATGGTGAAAGTTGGGATTTTGACATTTGACCTAAAATTAACCATCCTTGCCAAAAATCACCCACCTGTGACCTTTTGTTGGACACTTTCTAGAAAATGGACATTTTTGTCCATTGAAGGGTCATTAATGGGATAAAAATGAATTCTGGGGGTCAAATAATAGACTTTTATACAGAAAGTTGGTTTTGATGAATTTTCATCCAGAATGACCCCCTCACCAAAAAAATAGGGGGGAAGGTGGAAGGAGGAAGGTGACTGCTTTCAAGGGAGTTTTGAATTTTGAAAATGGAAAAAAATGTCCAAGGGTCATTTAAGGATTAATGGGATGAAATGAATTTTGGGGTCAATTAATAGATTTTCATGCTGACAGTTGGGAGTTTGACATTAGACCTGTCAGGCAGCCGTCGGCCTAAATACTGATCAGTGCCAACACTGATATGAGTCACAACAAGCAATGCAGGTGATATTACCTTCAGCATCAATATGCTTAAATCCTCAGACTTACATGCATTGTGACCACAGCCAATTTTACATTTATAGTATTCTATAAATTGTCAAAAATCACCACATTAGAGATTCCAAAATCCCATCTATCTCCACTTACGCACCCATAATGACAAAGTGACGACACCTTTATTAAAGTGTTGCAAATTCACATTGAAACTGAAAAACAAAAGTCTCATTTACAAAAGAATGCAGGCCCTTCACTATAACACTCTGAATTTTGACCAGCTGCATTTTGTTTGCTTTAATTATCCTTGAGACTGGAGTCCACCTGTGGCAAACCAAACTGATTAGACATAGTGTCGAGAGGATCACATTGTCTGACAGGACAAAAACCCAGGTGTGGGGTGTAAGCAACCCTCTGTAGACCTCCAAGACAAAACTGTGATGAGCCATCATCAGGATGAGGGTATAAAACCAATTCTAAAGCTTTGAGGGCTCCCAGGAGCACAGTGATCTCAATATCTGTAAAATGGAAGAATTTGAAAACACAACCCTTTCTCAAGTTAGCTGTCCAGCCAAACTGAATAACTATGCACGTAGGTTCTTGTTCTGGGAGGTGAACAAAGACCCAGCAGACACTCTAACAGAGATTCATGAGTCATCTGCAGCGATGGGAGAACCGGCTGGAAGGACGGCCATCTCAGCAGCACTCCATCAATCAGGCCTTTATGGTGGAGCAGTGCTGAGCAAAAGACATGATAGGAGAACTGCATGACAAGGCTCATCTGTTAAATGGAAACCATTACAGGTGAGGACCTCATGAAGCTGGTTAGCATATTTGACATTGTGCAAAGCTGTCATCAAGACAGTGGCTAATTAGAGGAATCTAAAATGTGCAGTGTTCTGTAAGTGCTATTTTATCATTTTGATGGTTTCAGTTTTGTTCTACACTGTAGGGAATAGTAAAAAATAAAAAATAAAGAAGTGAAGGAGATAATTAGGATTCCATGAGTCCAAACTGGGACTGTGTATCCCATATAAACCACAGTATCAGTAGCAGTACTACATTTGCTCTACTGCCACATTGGCTTGTATAGCTTACTCAGGTAGGTGTGTTGAGACGCTGCCGCCGTCGCATTACCTTTATGTTTCAGTGGTGGTGGACTGCAGTCTTGTCTCAAACTACAGCAGATACAGAAAATAAATGGACAGTGTTTAATGGCTTTGTGACAGGTGGTCATTGCCTCTGTCCACAGCCCCATCAGCCCTGCTGCTTCCTGCTGCGCTCATCATCACCATCATCATGGAGGTCATTATCAGCTCTGGCACACGCTTCGGCCTCACAGTCATCACCGGCGTCATGACATCATTATCACATCAGAGCAAACCTCATCAGTGAGTTCATCATTGAACTCAGTCTGACCCGTTTAACAGCAACAGGAAACATCAGCGCTGTCTCTGCACACCAGCACCCTCACTGTAGAAAAACACACGTCTTTCATGTGCACTCTTTAACAGACAAGGCAGCTTGTTGGAACCGAAAGTTTGATTTTATGCTCGGCTTTCTGTCTTTAGTTAATGTAAAACAGACTAAACATCGTTATTAATTCCTACCAGAAGGATTATTTATCATGTGGCAGTATTAAAGTGTATTTTTGTGTGAGGACAGTGTTGGGTAAAAGTCATGTGACAAAATGCATGAAAGTACTAGGACCTTAAAGATTCTTTGTAAAATGTCAGACAATTTAACTGGTAAGTAGTGGTGGTGTATTGATGTGTGCTATGTGTTTTTTGTTTGTTTGTTTTTTGGACGAAACAAACAAACAAAATAAAGATTGAAGATAGGGATGGCCTGATCAAGCATTTTGCTATTTATTTGCACCTGATCCAATCCCAGTCATCTACTGTTCAGTCTGTGCCGATCCATTTCAATACCACTTTCCTAGATCACACACATTTCAAGTATTATAGATTAGATGTAGTAACTGGCTGTTCCTTTGCAATATTTATCATGTGTCCATGGCTTAAAATAGAAATACCAGTACAGAACATTTTCCAGTGAACTAAATATATAATATAAATCAATCAATTATTGATTGACAATGCTTAATTTAGAATATTTTTAAATTTACGACATGTGTGACAGTGGACATTAACAAATGATCACTTTTAGATTTTTGATGACAACCTCAACTAAAAATTGCCTTGATCAACCCTGATACTGAGCTTTGGATCAGGTTAAGAACATCACTAATACACTTCAGATAAACTTCTGATCATTTGTGTCTCATGAAGTAAAACTGTTCCTGTTGTTTTGTTCTGGTTGTTATGTATTTAAATTACATTGAATGGACTCGTGCTGACTACATGTAAAACAGGAGCAAAATAGGTTAATTCTAAAACAGTTTGTACAGTGTACAAGAACATTTTGTTTAAGACATGACATGCTCTGTACTCAAGCAGAGTTGTGGCGCAAGTGTTACTTTCACTCAATATATTCCAGCTTTAGGTCATGAAATGTTTAAAGTATCTTCAGAGTCAAATGTTTTGAAGTTTTTCAATCAAAATGTAAAACAGTAACAGACCCTGAAAGTTTGTTTTTTTATCAATCAAACTGCAACAAGTCTTGACAGACTCTGTAGGTTGTCAAGAATAATGTCCACAGACTAACACGCACTGAGTCTACCGTCTGTCCATGAGAGGTTCTACTGAGGCCTGTAGCTCCTGAGGGGTCTCTGCAGTTCAATGCGTAAGGGATGCAACAAGGACAACAAGTCTATACAAGTCTTGGCATCAGTAGTACTGTATACCATCTGGTACATGTTAAGATAGTTCACCAGATAACTCAAGTCTTCAGTGTGCTGGTGGCACAAACTCATCACTCATCCGCTGTTGGATGATTATCTCCATTAAATTCTTTCACAGCCAGTCATCCATCAACTGTCAGCTCATTTCAGCGTGGACTGGAATGGTGGAACGACCAACTGACCAACAGAACAAACCTCATTATCAGCCCTTCAGCCACTGCACAGATTTTTTTCACACTCACGCATGCATTACACCAAACACCTGCAATCACGCACATCACTCTCATCGTCTGCCATGACTTTCTGTTGGTTTTATAGAACTTGTGGAGACTGGTCATCCATCTTGATCAGACTGGACAAGACAGGGAGGCTGATTGATGATGGTGTGCAGCACAAATGGCTGCTGGGGTTATTTGCTTGTAGAGTAAAGGATGAATATTGCATTCCTTTATGTGCTGTACGGTGTATTGTATTTTTATGAGCCGGTAGTGAGGATGCCATAAAACAACTATAAATGTGAGTGTATATTATGAGGCTTTCATAAGAGTGTCGTATTGAATGAGGTTTGCTGAGTGTGGGGTGCCTCTTAAAACATGCCTGTACTTAGGCTTTCTGCACAAGCACATACTCATATCTGTATGACTTATTCATGCTTTCAACATAACAATTTCCCATAAATCTTTTTAGAAATGGACTGATATGTAGCTGTAAATTCTGAGCAAGTCTCCTAAATGGTTCATGTAATGTGGTACCAATTTTGGGGAAATGAATTAGTTGAATTGGCAATTGTTTGTTAATCGATAATAAACAACTCCT